ATGCCGCCCGCACGCGCATTGGGGTTTAGCCGCCCCGCTGCGGGGCTGGGGCCGGGCTTCCACGCTGGGAGGAAGGATGGGCTGCGGGAACGGGGCGGGGTCCCCCGAGTCCACGGGCTGGCTTCGTTGTTTCGGGGGCTGCGCCTCGTAAGGAAAGTGCCCGATCACTTGGCGTGGAGGGCATCCGAACTTTCCCCACCGCCGCGTGAGTGGTATTGACTTCAATTTTTGTCAAGTGGGGACATTAAAATATTAAAAACTCCCTATTGATTACAAGTGATTTCAAGCCCAACTTTTGGAAATAGTTTCAGAAATGAAATACTTTGCATGTTTAATGCACTTTGTATAATCCATACTTGCGATCCTTTTGGGAGTGCTCCAGATGATCCCCCCCCCCCCAGTTGTATCTTTTAGAACTATTCTAAGCAAAACCATGCTTTTAAGAAAACCTGAAAGATGCAACAGGAGGTTTAAAAAAAAAAAGAATTTTATTTTCTTAGGCTAACATACAACTAACTTTCAATAAAAGAATTTCAGTTTTAAAACTTTTTTCTTTATTGTACTTACTAATAATTCATCAGAATGAAATATAACATTAATACTTCAATGTAATATCTCTGGTAGTTAACAGTGTGCTTTTCTCTTAGTACATTTCAGCATCAGAACTAGGAAAAACAGCAAGGAATGGCTGTGGAAGAACTTCAATCCATAATAAAGAGATGTGTAAGTAATTTCTTCTTTTTTTTCTTTTTGCAAAGTTAAATACCTGCCAAAATACTATGGGAAGGGCACAGATTATTTTTAATTACACTTTCTGTCACTCAAATTGTTTATCTTCTTTAATCCTTGCTTTTTTTGACCTATGAAAAAGCATGAGGGCCCAAAGGCAGACTGGATTATTTGTCCATATTTAATACTGGTCCTTATAGATTTTTTGACACAGGATTTTAAGATCACTCATTAGAGTATTTATTAGGTTAATCATAATTTTCATATATATGCATATGAAACTTAGGCAACTTACCTAGAATTTTCAGAGACAAAATAAATCAAGTAGTTATTGCATTTTTATTTGCCTAAACATGTTTTGTTTTGTTTATTTTGTTTTTGCCAGCAAATCCTAGAAGAGCAAGACTTCAAAGAAGAAGATTTTGGCCTATTTCAGTTAGCAGGCCAAAGATGCATAGATGAAGGGCACATAGACCAGCTATTAGAAGTTATTCAAAATGAAAAGAATAAGGTAAGTATGATCTTTGTGTGTACTTTTCAGTCTTTTACTAGGAAGGGAATAGTCACATGATGCTATTATTATTCATCCATTCATTTATTCATCATACATTTTAAAATCAACTTAAGCCCAGCTGGCGTGGTTCACTGTTTGAGCATCAACCTATGAACCAGGAGGTCATGGCTTGATTCTGGTCAGGGCACATGCCGGGGTCAAGGTACATGCCCGGGTTTCGGGCTCCATCCCCAGTGAGGGGCGTGCAGGAGGCAGCTGATCAATGATTCTCTCTTATCACTGATGTTTCTGTCTCTCTCCCTCTCCATTTCCCTCTGAAATAAAAAAAAAAAGAAATACTAAAAAAAATCAACTTAAATTTCCATAGTAGGAAACTGGAAAAAAAAATAAAAGAATTAGGACTATTAGTATATTTTAAGATACTTATAGTCTGGTGGAAGAGATAACCATGTAAACAACTAGAGAATAACTGAAATAAGTGCTACAGTTAAAGTATAATTAAAGTACTTTAGAAGAGCAGGGATTAATCCTGGTTAAGCACCAAAAGTGGCATTAATTTACTTTGAGAAATATAAATATCAGGAAGGCTAGAAATTCATTTTTGGTGATTAGCACATCCTTTTCCTCCAGCCAGTTATATATGAAAACCAAATATCAAGTAAGTTAGTATTTTGACATAAGGAGAGTTGGATAACCTTACTGACCAATATCATCCAGCTACAGTTATCTGAGAAGTCCATCCCCCACAATGGACAAGTATGTTTTTTTTTTTTAAATATTTTATTAATTTTTTACAGAGAGGAAGGGAGAGAGATAGAAAGTTAGAAACATCGATGAGAGAGAAACATCGATCAGCTGCCTCCTGCACATCTCCTACTGGGGATGTGCCTGCAACCCAGGTACATGCCCTTGACCGGAATCGAACCTGGGACCTTTCAGTCCGCAAGCCGACGCTCTATCCACTGAGCCAAACCGGTTTCGCCGACAAGTATGTTTTTTGGAGCAGAAACAATTTTTTTTCAGACACAGTTTTGGCAACACTGGTGAATTTTGTGTCTTTGGACTTCTCTTACTCAAGGGAAGACTATCTTCTTTCCAGGAACACACTTTGTTTTTCATTTATAGTCCTGTTTATTTATACAGAAGTTTTCTTTGTTGCCATTGCAATCTAGTCATGCTGACCTGTGATTATATCCAGGGCACCTTGATTGTGTTTAGGAGAAAAAATTAGCGACTTTTATTTAAAGCATTTATTTATTTGTTTGTTTTTTAAATATGTTTTTAGTGATTTCAGAGAGGAAGGGAGAGATAGAAACATCAATAATGAGAATCACTGATTGGCTGCCTCCTGCACGTCCCCCATTGGGGATCCAATCCAGGACCCTTAAGTCCACAGGCCGAGGCTCTATCCACTGAGCCAAACCAGTTGAGGCTAAAACATTTGTTTTTGATGTGTTTACAGTCCTTTGTAGCCCAAAATAAAGTAAATATAATGTTTTCTTTAACTCCTTGAGGATAATCTTTGAAAGTACCTTACTTTTAGCTAATAATAATAAAATTAATAATAGCTAATACTTATTGAGTATTTACTATGTGCCAGATAAGGAAACAGTTGCTGAAGTGACTTGCCCCCAAATCCAGGATTTAGACCTATGCAGCCTGGTTTCAGAACTGCTCACCACTCTGCTCTGTCTCCAGTTATCACCATATCGCACTTGCAAGGAAGTTTTAGAGTACACCAGAGGGAATTCATTGATTGTGGGGGTGAGAGAGAGTGAGGCATCAAAGGTGACTGGGTTTCTTGCCAGGTGACAGAGTTAAGATTGATTAAGATTTACTATTAATCTGCTTTATGTGAAATGTTTTTCTGAGAAAGCCATATGAATAGTTTGTCCTAAGACACTGTAGTGCCAGGGTTTCTCAGTATTGGCACTATTGATGTTTTATAACAATCCTTACCCCCATTAAATGACAATAAAAAATGTCTCCAAACTGCCACATACTCACTGGTAGGTAGGGAACAAAATTGCCGCCATTGAAAACCACGAGTATAGTGGGAAAAACATGGGGTTTGCAGCTGGCCAGACTTGTATGTAAATCCTGGTTCTACCACATGTTGTTGGACATGGGCATGTCAGTAATCTCTAAACTTGAGCACTCTCTTTTGTCAATTAGGGATAATAATCTTACCCTATAAGTTTATTAATATTAAACTAAACAAGTTTTAGTTTGTGGATTGTCATTTTCCCTTCCTCGTAACTATTCACTACATAATGACTGGATGCCTTGCAGCTAATATTTTATTTGTAAAATATTTTATCAAAATTCTTTTTTTTTAGCTCAGTTACACAAATCTTATTCAAATCTTAAATTTATCTTACAGTTAATTATGCTCAGAGACTCACTTATAGGGAAGAAAGGGAAACAAGTACTTAGTTGGCAAAGTAGTCTCATAACAACTAGTTAAGTTTTAAAAAGTGAGATAGGCACTCATTTGTGGAATATAATGAACGTTATAAACTGATGAACAAAAATAGATACAGAGACAAAAAAGCATTGAACAGACTGTCAAACTTCAGTGGGAAGGCAGGGGAGGGGTGGAGGATGGGAGTAAGAGATCAACCAAAGGACTTGTATGCATGCATATAAGCATAACCAATGGACACACACTAGGGTGGTGAGGACCTGTGCCAGGGGGTGGCTTTGGCCCCAGGGGGAGGTTAATGGGGGGGAAAGGAGACATTTGTAATACTATATGTAATACTTTAAACAATAGATTGAAACTTTTTTAAAAAAGTGAGATAGGCTTATTATTTAATAAGTAATGGTGGAGTAAATAGTAATTTTGAAAAAATTAACTGCATAACAAATGCCTGGTTAGTAAGGACCTAAATATTAAAATCCAAGCTATACACACAAAAAACCCCAGAATATAACAGAACAGAATATGAAATCTTTGATGGGAGGATACTTTGTTACACTTAAAAAGTAGCAGACATCTTTCAACCTGTATTTCTGGAATACCTATTTTGTAATAGGCCCTACTCTAGATGCTGGGAATAGAAATAGCAGAAC